AGTGACCACAAATGCATCAAGCTAAGGTTTGGCAAGAGCAATGAAAGTGGGAAGGAGGCAAGATGAGCAACTACAGGGGAATTTTTATTCAAAAAGGCAAATAGAAATAGCTACTAAACAAATTAAGAAAGTAATCACTGAGGGTAATAAAACAGTGTGGACGCACACGAATTTAATTAGACTGTTTGATCTAGAGCTTGCTAAGGCACGTGACAAGCCACTTTGAAAAAAGAGACAAATCCAAAAGTTGGTAGGATGAGGAAGTTAAGAGAGCCATAGCAAAACATCAGGAAGCCTCTAGGGTACACAGACATGCTAAGCAGCGGGGTGAACTAACAGATGATGTTATAAGAAAATGGCGTATCTTTCTAATTGTAGAAGGGAAGCATCTCTTCTGATCAATGAAAAGACTAAAATAAAGGGGGCTCCGTGGTTGGCAGGAGTACATAAAAAGGATAGAAAGGCCCCTGCAAAATTTTGGAACTATCTAAACTCCCTACATAATGATACAAGCCTATAGCAGAGGTTTATAACTACAGCTCACGGTGTTAGGCTAGAAGGGGACGAAGCTATTAAATATATAAGAACAAGGCTGACAGAAAAATTCTAACAAGGAAGTGCCTTATGCACCTTAATAGACAAGAATGGATCAAGTGGCGAAGTGGCTCCATTTTCACAATGAGAGAGGGAAAGGGCTGAAAGGAGGGTTCCTAGTAGTACATCAGTGGTTTTCAGCTGATGGATGTGCCAAGGACCCCTAGTGAACTGGTGGAAGTGATGGGGGACCCCTTGCAGCGGAAGGGAAGGAGGGGGGTATGTAGGTAAATTTGAGAAGCCCTTGAGAGAAATGGGGGAGGAGAATTGGGCTAGGAAGGTTTTCAGCTACTTGTACATGAAGAATGTCGACACAAAATGGAAGAAGCGAACCAGAAAATTGACGGGTAAATACTTAGAAAATAGCAGGGGGCCAAACCAAAAAGAGCTACCGGTTAAGAAGAAGGTGAAGGAAACTGAGATATACATGTAAAGAATTGGCATGATTAAGAATTCCGTACTAGAGATCTATCGAACTTTCAAGCAGGAATTCGCCAAGGCAAGGATCTATGATGGTTCTCAGGGTAGTTCTCTACTGTTTGAGGCCAGGACAGGAGTATCGCAAACCAAGACTTATCGGGCCAAATACGAAGGAGTAGACACGGTATGCAGTACGTGTGGAGAGGAGGAAGATACTGCCGAACACTTGATAATGTTCCGTAAAGGGCTTCACCCATTAGTTTAGGAGGATGGCGCACAGTTTTTCAAAGCACTGGAGTTTAGGAACATGGAGGGCAAAATAGACTTTAAACAGGTAGAAATAACAAGGAGGTTATCTGATTGGTGGCTACAATCGAGGCACGAGTGAAAATTAAATCTTTAACTACAAATGCCAGTCCTTAACTTACTATTTAATGAAAAAAAAGACAAATCTAGTTCTGTTCACGAATTATTATGGCTAAGTGACATTAGCCGCCACCCGATCTAAAGAGTAGAGCCATGACAATCCATCCATCCGTCCATTCATCCATCTCGCAGGTGGCCATCGCCTCGTGAGCACTTTGCTTCTGTTGTCGCGTCGTCTACGTACCATCACATGTGCAGCATTTCTTTTTTGCGTGCGTGGTGTGCAAAGCCGCTACGAACTCCTTGAATTGTTGACTTCTCGGGTAGCTATGGCCAGTGTCAAGAAGTCAAGACCCTTGACTTTGTGACGGAGTTGAAGGCTATTCAGCGTGTTGAGGCGGGCGAGAAATTTTCGACCGTCGTGAACGACTTCGGGATACCATGGTGTACTCTGAGTACCTTGTTGAAAAACAAGGCCAATATCATGGCAAAGGTGGCGGAGCAGCGAACGCCGGGTGCCTGTCATTTGCACGCTTATGACCATGGGAATGTAGAAAGGGCACTGTATACTTGGTTTTTAGAAGTGCGCGCGAAGAACATCCCGGTGGTCGACCCGATGCTGATCACCAAGGCCAAATGGTTTGCCACTGCACTCGGTGAAACAACTTCACCGACAACATTAGTTGGCTTCACCGATTTAAACTGCACTACTATATCGTTGGCAAAACCAATTCTGGCGAAAGCGAAGCTGTCAGCAGCCAGGACCTCCAGTTGTGGATGACGAAGGATTGGCCGGAAATTTCCGCGAAGTTTTCTCCTGCAGAGATCTTCAGCGCCTGGCGAGACGTGAAGACGGACACCGTGGTAAACTACTTCTGCAAGGCAGGCTTCAAGATGGCATAATTTGCAGAAACCAGTGAAGACGACAACGACGACGAATGCATAGAAGATGCATTTCACGAGTTGTCATCCCGCTTCCCAGCAGCAGTTCCACACGAAGTGTCTGCGGACGACTTCATGGAAGCGGACTGCATTGTTCGGGCCGTTGCGAGCCTCGCTATTGAAAAAATAGTAGCTGCAGTCACAGGGACCCAGGATGCCCAGTTCGACAGCTCAAGTGATGAGGAGGATGGTTCAGATGAGGTGCTGGATGGTCTGGATAAGGCGCTGGCTACACATGTGTACTCCGCTGCTGAAGTAGCGGCAGTAGCACTGGTGTTTTACTCTTCTTTTCTTTGTCGGTGTGTCAATGTGCGTTAAAAATAAGTTACAACGCGGCAGCATTCAGCATTATTTGCCGTTGTATCGGGGACATGGAGGAAACCGGACTGTCGCACCTGGACAGCAATAAGATCTAGACTAGCCTCTTCAACTTCATTTCAAAAAGGAAGAAGCAGACCAAGGTAAGTGATTTTTTTTTTTTTTTTTTCACGCAAATAAATCATTCTGTTACGGCATGTGTGTGGAATTAGTTGTCATTCTTGAATACGCCTATTGCCGGTAATGATCTGCTACAGGTAAGCTCTCAAGGCCTCTGTTTTTTCATATCGAATTTTTCATATATCGAACTAATTCGCGATCCACTTTGACTTTGACATATTTGTGTTGGACTGCACAAACTGTCAGCCACCTGTGGCATATACTACAGCTTCTGATATGTGCGTATGTACCACAAGTGTCAGGAGGAAAGGGTAAGATGATGTATGGGACAGGATTTCGATGTTAGTCATGTCACGACCAGCTAGACATATTCGTGAAACCTTCTTAACCTCTCATACTAATTTTCGTTTACTGCAAGTTAGAGGCAACCATGAGAACATCCACATGTACGTGACTAGATAGATATGCAGATAGAATACTAAAAGTGCCTGCAGTTCGCTAAGAAATACCTCACATTTAATATGATCACTTAACTAGATGAGACAGGGTAAAGTGCATTAAAAAAATCAGGTGCATGTTAGACTTAGGTAGATACGATGAATGTCACTCATAAGCTTATCAATACTTGCATTATAATTTGGCCTTGAACAAAGAAAAAATAATACTGCTAGTAAACTAACCTAAACAAACATGCTTCATGAACTGATAAAACTGCAGACCTTCATTTTGAGCTTAGGTACACGTGTAGAATAAGTAGTTTTTTTTTAATTCAGTGGCTCACCATAGATTGGCTATTTACATAAACAGGTGAGATTCCTGCGAAGTGCTTATTTCACAGTGTTTTATTCTTCAGAACACACTGAGCTACTTATTTCACAGTGTTTTATTCTTCAGAACACACTGAGCTTCTGCCAAAAGGAATGCTAAGCTGTAAAAGCCTTCATTTTGAACTTAGATACATGTGTAGAACAAGTTGTATTTTTTTACATTCAGTGGCTCACCATGAATTGGCTGTTCACACAAACAGGTTAGATGCCTGTGAAGCGCTTATTTCACAGTGTTTTATTATTCAGAACACACTGAGCTACTGCCAAAAGGAATGCTAAGCTGCAAGGGCCTTCATTTTGCACTTAGATACATGTGCAGAACAAGTTGTTTATTTTTTTTACATTCAGGGGCTCACCATAAATTCGCTGTTCACACAAACAGGTGAGATGCCAGTGTAGTGCTTATTTCACAGTGTTTTATTATTCAGAACACACTGAGCTATTGCCAAAAGGGATGCTAAGCTGCAAATGCAAGTATCAGGTTCGCACCATTGCCGAGCAATGCTATGAACCTAACCCACGCTTTCCTTTTATTCTCATATTTAGCTCAATACATTCTCAGCTGCAGCATTGTTTTTAATGATCACATCAAAACACTGCCATGATTCAGTGCAAACAGCAAAGGGCATACAACTTTCACTTGAAATGCAGCTTTCTAAAAATTAAAGACTGCATGTAGTTTCTAGTATGACATGTTAACGACTTTATTGCTATAACAATTATGTGGAGACTACAGCTGTATTTTCGCCACTGTCATGAAGGTCTTTGCATAAATGTCCACATTGTTAACATTCTCTCGCACATAGTACTTCAATGTGTGCCCAATCATGGGCTACACAACACCAACAGGAAGTGCCTACTCTGTCTGGAGCAGCACCTTCATGGGGACTATCAAAATGCTCGTAACTGTACATGTATGTACATACCGCAAAGTTTGCGTTAAAGCCATAAATAGCACAAAGGTCAATGGGCCTGCTGCAGTGACTGCATTTCCTTACGGCAGTGATTTGTTGGGCTACCACATCTTGCATACTAAAGAAGCAAGGTGGTAGCTTACCGCCGTATAACAATTGAATTTGTTGCAATTGGATTCATTGCTTTGCCCTCTAATAAAAACTGTAACTTCTTTCTTTATTCACAGTCGCGGTCACCATCCAGTGACTTATGTGTCCTGCTCATTTGTTTAAAACATCCGAAATTGGTGAGTAGCACTTGAACAGCTAGCTTGAACAAATAAATGGTTTTAAGAACCTGCACTGCCTGCATTCATTCAACAGATATCCTTTCCTTAAATGTTTTCACGGTCATTGTATTTTGTTTTTTTTAGCATATCAGAAGATGAACGCATTTAGTGTTTGCAAAAAAAAAAAAAAGATGGTACATCAAATCTTAACACCATGATGTTTTTCCTACCATTATTAGCCAAGTCGGACCCACTGGCCTCTGTGCCGAGTCCCAAGGAGGACAAGGTGTCATTCCACCAGGCCTGGTTGACTGGGTCATTGGGGTCGTAGTTGGGAATGTCTGCAGCAATGCCAGCATCTGGGGGTACTGCCGTTGAAGGTGCCAGCACCTCCACAACTGTCGTCACGGGAGGCGTGGGGGGGTTCAGCACACTGGCTGAACCAGCCATTAGCAGTGGCGGTGGTGATGCTGGCGAGTGCTGCACATCACATTCATCACACCTCAAGCTTTGCTCAATAAAAGTTTTTCTGCATCAAGATTTAACATTCACGCCCTTCATGTGGGGTCACTAAGCGTTCGACCACTTATAGGGGTTCTGACATCTTTTTTCGAAGCACTAGTTTTTTTCGTCATACAAATCTCCTGTACACAGAGACAGCTCCGAGCAAGTGTGAAGCTTAGCAGCAAATGCTGATAAAATGTTTTATATTAATGAAGTCAATTTTCCCATGGCACACCTTCCGACATCAACACTAGCTTCACTAGTGTTGTCAGGCTACAGTGCTGATTCTGGTACCTCATGCAGCCTACTGGCTAGTTGCAGTCAAGTCAGGCACCGAAACATTCAAAATGGCCGCCTGTGTGCCACCAACAGTGCGGAGTGGCACGAGGACGTGACAAAAAGCTGTTATCGTGTTGGGACATCAGGGTTCAGTGAAAAATGAAATTAGCACTAAAAAACATTTGACTGATAGATATGTAGGGGTTAACATCTCAAATCCAGCAGACGATTATGAGAGACGCCGAAGTGGAGGGCTCTGGAAATTTCGACCACCTGGGGTTCTTTAACGTGTAACCAAATCTGAGCACAGGGGCCTACAGCATTTTCACTTCCATCGGAAATGCAGCACGTTCGATTCCGCGACCTGCGGGTCAGCTGCCGAGTACCTTAGCCACTAGACCAACACGGCATAGGAGCATTTAAAAACACACTGTAATTACTTTATCAGGGTGCAGAGCCGTACATTTTCTAGACTCTCGGGGAATTGACCCCTCATTTAACACAAAAAAAACAACTGATGCTTTTCTTGTCAATAGCCCTATTAAGTATAAACAGCATTCACCTCTAGGTCCAGTGATGGAAGTGGATATTTATCGATAGGACGACGCAACTTCAAGACAGACATAGCTCTATTTACTATTGCTATAGTAACCAGCAAGGTTCCCTGCTACACTGACACTTTCCGAGTGTCACTTTTTCACTCTCAAAAAACTTCCCAAGCAGTTCAAGCTTTAGTTGCTAGCATGGCACAACCACATTCACTGAACATCAAATCAATGTTTCAAGCATGCACATCTGCAAAATTAACTTTTGCCGTCTGTTTTTATCACGATATTTTTTTTTTTTTTCATCTTGCGTCGTCCCACCAATAGAGATCTGCTGCTGTCATTAGAATGTGCTGTCGCTACATTATCTGGTTGACTGCAGTTCATGAGGGCCCTTACCACTCGTACTAAACAGGTTGCAGAGCCATAGCTTAGTATTCAATTATCACTAAGTTAAACCCTAAATGCACTTAATGTCTTGATAACCTATAACTTTATTCTCTAGGCCACAATAACCAACCAGTGCCAGCTGCCACTGCGCTTCCCAGTGACCAACAAAAGCATCAATGTTGTCCCGCACTGATGTGTACACTATCACAAAAGTAAATGTCCCAGCATAGCTTCATACTATCTAGTGTTGCTTCTTTGAAAACACGCCTAAATATACAAACCAGAAAACATTTTCGTACTTTTTATAGTGTACATAAACACTGCGATAGAAAACATGTACTACTCATCGCCTAACAGGCAATGGAAACAAATTACAAACTTTGCCTGTGTCTTGAGTATATGACAAAATATGAAAAAGAGGACAACGAAAGGATGCACGTTTGATTTGAATAACGCCTATTAAATTTGAAGAGAAATTAGAAAAGAGAAAGATGAAAAAAAAAAGAAGAAAAGGGGGCACGGGCGACGATGTGGCCGGGACAGACAGAGGTGTGTGACCCTGAAGACACTAGACTTGCGACCCTGAGCATGAAACACTTTATAAGACACTATCATTGATTAGGTATTCGGGAACATCAATAGAACTAACGGTGGGAGAAACTCGCATTACCTTGCATTTATTAGCGCTAAATCGCATGTTCCCATTTAGTGCACCAGGAAGAAACTTCGTTAAGACCTTGTTGCAGGAAATGAGCATCAGTATTAGTGCAAGCGTTTCTATAAATAACACAGTCATCAGCAAATAATTTAATTGATAATAGAATACTATTAGGCAGGTCATTGATGTAAACAAGAAAGAGAAGAGGGCCTAAAACTGACCCCTGTGACACACCAGAAGTGATAGAAAACTCTTGTGAACTGTTATTGTTGGTGGTGACAAACTGAGTCTGGTTAGCAAGGAAGTATTCGATCCATCTTAATATATGGGTCAATGTTTATTTTCCTTGGCTTAAAACAGAGTAACTGGTGTGAAACAAGATTTAAAGCTTTAGAGAAGTCCAAGAATATACAATCAATGATTAGTCCACTGCCCAATGCCGCGAAAAGATCATGTGTAAAGGAAACCAGTTTTGTTTCACATAAAGAATGATTACGGAAGCCATGATAATTGGGAGAGAGATAATTTAATTTGTATCTAGAAAGGCCACGAGATGAGAATAAATTATGTGTTCTAAAAGCTTACAAAGTACACTGGTGAGGGATATCAGTTAGTTATTCAAAGGGGACTGAGCATTACCAGATTTAAATAATGGTATCACTTTGCCCACCTTCCAGTCACGTGGTAAAGAACAAGATGTTAAGGACTGGAAAACAGTTTTGACAAAAACATCGAAGAATAAACATCCGTACTTTTCAAAAACTTTGGAGTGATGCCTTCCACTACGCAAGACGAAGACAAGTTCAGGCCACGAATTAGCTTCTGTACACAATCAAAATAAATAAAAGCAGGATCTATAACAGAGAAGTTATGTCCTAACAGGCAAGTTATGTTCAGTAATACAAGGAAAAGACACAGCTGACGATAAAAAGGATTTCGAAAATACATGATTGACCACAGAACAACATTTAGAACTCGGAATCGGTACACCATTACTGTTACTTAAAGATATTGTATTCTGTTTATGACTACCTACGACATTCCAAAACTTTTTCGCGTTCATTACAAGTAACGAGGGAAGTGTGCTTTTATAAAAAATTTCCTTGGTTTTCTCGACTGCCTCCTTATACTGCGTAGTACATTCACGATAAGCACACCATATTCATTACTCTGGTTTTCTAAACACACGCTTCTTCCTATTCAAAAGGCGATTTAACAAAGAAGTAAACCAAGGGGACCGATGTTTACCTGAAACAGCCTGCAGTGAAACCAAACTTAAAACTTTATCCTTAAAAATATTCCAGTTGGATTCAACAGAGCGTTCTTCAAATTTTAGCATGTAGGCTTCAAGGAACACATCAAGTTTTGTGGTTAAAGGGGGACACAGGTCTTAAAAGTCCAAAAATCGCGAAAAAAAGGACTTTTTGATGTTGACATTTCCGGAATATGCAACTATACATAGTGTGCACGTGCGTCAAGCAGGACCTATTCGTCACTTCCGAAATACACCACCGTCATGCCCTGGTACCCACCGACTCCGTCGCCTGCCGCTGCCGTGTTGTCTCCTCGTGCTTGCACACGTTTAGTTGAGCCATAGTCCCTCAATACTGTTTTTGTATTGAGGGACTATGGTATTGAGGGACTACGGTTGTGCCTCACGATGCAAGTTTGAGGGCTGCTAGTGAGGCAAGTTGATTTAGTAGTCCCCGAAAAGGGAGCAAAGTTTCGGGGTGTTTCTTCGCCGAAAGTTATTACCCAAAATTGAGAACGCTCATTGCGATTTTCCAAAAAGTACCGGCTTGTTTGGCTGGCGCGGATTTACAAAAAAACTACTTGAAGAAACTCGGTGATATTTACATCTTCAGGTGTAACTTTCTTCCGGGTTAGTGCCATAGCCAAGCACTAGCCTGCAAACAGAGATAGCTTACCAAGATACTGTAAACTTGTCCGGGACCACCGCATGCACAATCAGCGTGTCATGGAGGCGGTTAAAATCTTGATGGTGATCGCGGAAACTCGGGTATTGCATTGAAACAAACTGTGAAAATGGATGCGAAGCAATGTTACTTCACCCTGAAGAATAGTCGATCGGTTCGAGTTGGGGGGGGGGGGGGTCAGGATTTTGAAAAATTGGTCCATTAATTCCCTAACACGGTCTCCCATCATTTTCAGGAACTCCACTGTACATTAGCATACAAAAAAAGTAAAATACAAGATGAAAAGGGTGTCAAAATATACGCGAAAAAAAAAAGTGATGACCGGCATTACTGCGGCACGCACCACGCGAAGTCTCTATCTGCCTCACTTATTTTCCTCGGCTGTTTCCGCAAATTTCAGTCAAATAGGCTCAACATAAGCACTGTTTAAAACACTTGAGGGGGAAGGCGCTGCTACTTTGGTGGCGTGGGCCGCAGCGATATATTAATATTAATATATTATCTCTTGTAAACTTGCCCAGCTCGGCACGGCTCATTTAATTTTGATGGGAGCTGCTGCGCTTCACTCATCCACTCTTAAAATTGCGTCTCGAGAGACTTTTGGCTTTCACTTGCTTGGGCCACGCATTTTGTGGCATTTGTAGTGAAAGCGAGAAAATGGGCCCTCGTAGGTTTTGGCGGGCTGCCGGTGTACGAGGTGGCTGGTATACGTGTCGCCCATCTTGACTTTCTACTCTTGAATCGAGTGAACAAACGAGGCCTGCCGGATCCGATGAGCTCGTTAAAGTACGACAACAAAAAACCGCAATGCTTCCCTTTCAACATCGTACACAGCAACAGATGACAAGCCCCCAATAAACCGCGCTGCAGCACGCGAACTGCCGTAGGTACCCAGGCATGGCGGGAGAAGGCGACAACGAAGTGACATCACATGAACACTATGTATTTTTGCGCTTACCTGAGAAGTTTGAAGCTTCTCGCGTCATTATTTCTGGCACAAAATCAATTTGTAACACCCCTGTGAGATGAATCTGAACACAAATAGACGCTAAAGTCGCGCTTTTTCCACGCCGAACCGTTGCCGTTACACACGAGCTATCGTGGTCATCTTGGTCTAGTTTGGAAGGGTGGTTCATTTTCAATTTCCCGCCTCCAGTGGCTTGCCTT